CGTCCTCTTACAGAGACGGGAAGATCAGCAGGGAGGAGATGATAGACTACTTTATGAAAGCCAGCTCTCTGCTGAACTGCAAGATGGGTTTCATCCACACTTTTACTGAGACCACCTATGTCAAGCCCACGTTCTGTGAACACTGTGCTGGCTTTGTGAGTAAACATCTATGCCTAAATCTTAAACAGCAGCCATCTTTTCAGCTTGTGTATAATTCTGCTTTTGACCTCAGCCCATCCTAAAATGTTCACGAAACACAGTCGATGGAAAAACTTGATTTTAGGCACTGACTCAGCTGTATGATTTATAAATGCCCCAGTGTCATGCACTTCATTATTTGTCTTGGCTGTTACTGTCAAGCCGTGGTAGCACAACTCTTTAAGGTTCCTCCTGTCAGGTCAGGGTAGTGCAATCCCTTTGAGCTGCAGCCACACACTGCTGAAGTCGCATTCTGGGAAATATGAGAGGAAGTTAACTGGGTGAGATGATAACCCTCGTCTGTGGCAGTGTTAAGGGTGTGTGAGTGTGCGTCCTCTGGCCCTCGACGTTCCCAAAAGTCCCCCAAGGATCTCTGTGTTATTGAGACACAGACGGTGACTAAGCTGTAATGAGAACAGGCCTTTAATGTTGAAGCAGAGACACTGAGATGACATCACATTCATTTCTTTATATTGCATTATAAGCGGGCCAATTCTCGAGAGAGACGTACGGCCGACCGTATGTGTTTCCATTAAAATGAAACATGCACACATGTGCACAGCAGCACGTTAAACTCTGGGGAAAGTCTGCTACTTTTAAATCGTCATGGGGGAAATTCAGAATACAGAGCAGGGAAAGATAAGGACCCTGGCAGTCTGCCTCTTCCTTTGGCTATATCTGTGTGTGTGTGTGGCAGAGATACTGTACACCAACCACTTCCTCATCTGTCTGCTTTCCTCTTGGCTCCTGTGCAAACAAAATATTTTCCTGCAGCACATTTTTCAACACTTGCCTCAAACATGCTGTACAATTCCAGCCGGGCCTTCTGTAAACACCAGCGTCCAGTGACCGGTATTCACACAAGGACGCTGTGGTGCCTGCATTCTTCTTTGGTCTTTTATCTTAAATACTGGCTTACAGATTACAAAAGCGAGCCGACAATGCACCGTGTGCAAGCTTCTCCATCTCAGGAGGATACAGCAAGCTTCTGGAAAAGATTCAAACAAGTTTTAGAAGAGAAATTACACAGAGTGACGCATGCTGCATCTCTTATTCTGTTTTGAGTTACGAGCGTGTTCATACCTTGTGACAAAAGATAAAAATATCTCATTACGGTCACAGATCTTTTCCAGGCTGCGTGTCTTATGCAGTATATACTTGATTTCCAAGGTACATTTGTACATGCATGTATGCTCATACTGCAAACTAGCATTTCTAAACAAGCCTACTATGGACATGTGTGGGTGACCTTATCCTGCTGGACTGCAGAGTTTGGTAAGAGTATGTAATGTCTGAAACTAAGTGTTTGGAGCTGTCGATGAGCTTTTGGTTTGCAGGGTTAATTGTACATTGACCTCATATTATGTGTTTGATATGGTTACAGGTTCTTAAACTAGCATAAAGGTCTACAAACTGAAAAATAATAATGG